CTGGGAGCGCAGCAGCGCTCCCGCCATGGGTTCGGATCCTATATAGGAATGGCCAGTGCACTCACAGCGCTCACTGGCTGAGCCTGGTATGGCCGGTCTCAAAAAGGACAAAAAAAAAAAAGTCTGTTCTTTTGGCCGGCCCGGTGGCACACTGCTACAGTGCGCTGCTTGGGAGCGCTCCCACCGAGGGTTCGGATCCCACATACAGACCGGTTCCCGCTCACTGGCTGAGCGAGGGGCGGGCGCAGCACCGAGGGTTGCGATCCTGTTGCCGGTCCCGGTCCGGTACGGGCGTGACACTGAGGGTTGCGGTCCGTTGCCGGACACGAAAAAAGATTAAAAAAAGGAAAAAAAAAAAAAAAGAAGATTTAAAATCTGCTAATCCTGATCCTGTCCTGCAAGGCCCAACCATTTTCACCTCATGAAAACACAAAGATACATGAACAACCCTGTAGGCAGGGTAACTGCCGCCCCTACAGTGGGTGTATTTCCCATGTTGCTGCACATGTGTGTTGTGTAGTGGAGAAGCAGAAAGCAGCAGACGTGAGCCCACGCGTGCTGTGGCTGGAGGACCAGACCACCCTGGAGAACAAAGGGATGCCATTAGTGCTGCTGGTTTAACGCAACATTTGCCTTGAAACCTGGTTTCCGAGCTGCACGTTAGAATCTGTAGACTTTAACAGCTTTCTCTGCCCCACGCTGCTGGAGGACGCTCCTCATGACGGGACAGTCCTGCAGTTGTGTCCCCTGCGCGCCCGTCCCGGAGCACTTTTAAATCCCTACCAAGTGAGGATGACCTCACCACTCTAAAGAACATTTCAGCAATAAAAATCAAGGCACACAACCTATAAACTCTGTGGCAGTAAATAAGTACACAGAATCTATCATGAGCAACTGAAAATCCACATGTTATAATTTTAAGAAAGGGGACAATAGGACTAGGCTTACAAAACCAATCCATCTCTGAAACACTTTGGGACCGTAATTTTTCACTGATAACATGAACTGGAATTATTCTGAAACACTGAAGTAGCGCTTCAGTCCTTTCGTTGCACCTGCCACATGCCACATGAACGTGCTGTGCTCCAGCTGTCTTCACCCTCTTAGCTCCTTCTCTGGCCACAGGGAACATGTCCAAAGACAAGGTTCTACTTTTTAAAAAATACATAGAATTCACCCCCAAAATATTAGA